GTTCTCCAGTCCTGTTGGTGAAGAAAAAAGATGGTAGCTAAAGTTTATGCGCGGACAGGGCGTTGAACAAGGAGACGGTATTGGATAAGTTTCCTATTCCTGTGATTGATGAGTTGCTAGATGAGCTTTACGGAGCAGTCATTTTCTCGAAAATTGATATTAAGTTGGGATACCACTTGATCAAGATGAATCAAGCGAATATGCACAAGACAGTGTTCAGGACACAGGAAGAACATTACGAGTTCTTGGTGATGGTGCTTGGCCTCACTAATACCCCAACTACATTTAAGTTCCTCATGAACAGGGTTTTTCAACCTTATCGTAGAAAATCCGTTCTAGTCTTTCTCAATGGCATTCTGATCTACAGTCATACAGAGATAGAGCACGTGGAGCACCTGAAGACAGTCTCGGAGAAATTAAGAGAACACCAATTGTACGCCAATTTGAAGAAATATTCTTTTGCATAGCTACAGATGAAGTACCTTGAGCATGTGATGACTAGGGCAGAAGTAGCAGCAGACCCATTCAAAAGTGAGGCCATGATGGATCGGCCTTTACCAAGTAACTTGAAAAAGGTTGAGGAGATTTTAAGTCTCACTGGATACTACCGAAAATTGCGAAGGGGTAAAGCACGGTAGCATGACCACTGACAAAGCAGCTGAAAAAAACAATTTCAAGTGAGGGGAAGCCGCAACACAGACATTTAAACATCTGAAGAGAACCATAATCAGTCTACCAGTTTTAGCATTTCAAGATTTTAGTAGACCATTTGAGGTAGAGGAAAATGCATCAAGGTACAAATTGGGAGCAGTACTCAAGTAGAATCAGCGGTCAATTGCTTACTTCAGCCAAGTGCTTACCGCTATGGCAAGGCTGAAGTCAGTATATGAGCGAAAGTTGATGGCTATTGTATTGGCCATTCAGAAGTGGAGGCCCTACCTTTTAGGACAACACTTTATTGTCTGAATAAATCAGAGAAGATTGAAGTACCTGTTGGAGCAGAGGAAGGTGGCTGAGGAGCATTAGAGGTGACTATCCAAATTGATGGGATATGATTTCGAGATTTAGTACCGGCCAGAGTTGTAGAATATAGCCGTAGATGCCTTGTCGAGGAAGGTGAAGGATCTCCAGCTAACGGCCTTATCGCTACCCTTGTTCCTCGAATGAGAAGCACTAAAGCGGGAGAGCTAGCTAGATGAAGAATTGAGAAAGGAAGATACAAGAAGAGTTGCTACAACATTTGAACAGTCATCTGGGATATACCTTGAGGAGACAGTAGCTACTCTATCAGGAGTCGTTCGTGTTACCAAGAGCACTGAAGTACATCCCTAGACTATTGCAAGAGTTTCACGACAATGCAATTGAGGGGCATTCCAGGGTACAAAAAAACTACACTTGTCTATCGATAAAACTCTACTGAGTGGGGATGCACAGAGATGTAAAGGATATGGTGGAGCGACAAGATGTGTGCCAATGACACAAATACCTGACCATGACACTAGGACGGTTGTTACAACCCCTAGTCTTACTAGAGAAGGTTTGAGAAAAAGTAACCGTGGATTTTATAGAATGATTATCATGATCAAAGGGGTTCACAGTGATTCTGGTGGTCGTGGATCGCCTGAGCAAGTATGCACATTTCATTCTATTATGACACCCCCCACGGTTTAAGTGACAAGAGTATTCATACGTATAGAAGATAAATATGGGCGTAATAAATATTCAAATGACACACTGAAAAGGAATTAACAACAACTGACACAGACAAACAAAACTAAAGTTGTATAACAAATGGGGTGTAAGGTAGGTTGGCGGATTGGGAAGATGGAACAAGGAAGCAAGTGGGTGGTGGGTGGGAAAACCAGTGGTAGATGGGCGTAGGTTATGAAGGCTGCTACCAAGGGAAGGTGTGGCTAGAAGGTGGCAGCAATCTGGACGTGTCGGAGGGCAACGACAGAAGTGCAGGAGTGATGTAGCAAGGGGGGATGGCCGAGGGGAACTGCAAAAAAACAGCCTGTAGGGGTTTTCCAACGGCTATAACAAGGAGGGGGGATGGCAATGAGGTAGCATCTGAGTAGCAAGTGCTGGTAGATTGTTGGGAAGGGTGGCAAGAAGGTGTGGGGCTGCAGGAACAACACTAGCGCTACTCTGAGGTGGTTGTAGTGGTTACAACAACCACAATGGCGGAGGGAAGGTTGCAAATAATGAAGAGGGTGAGGATAGTCACCACTTCGGAATGAGATACAGTCGGAGCACCACTCGTCTTCGAATACAACCCTAGAAGGGAAAACAAGAGCCCCGATAGCTGTTCTGACAGAAACACAATTAAAACTGACCAAAAACATTATAACATCACACTTATAGCCCTAGTTTAACTAAGGAGTGGCTCCACTATTGCAAAGAGGCGGCAAACCCAAAAGGAAGGGCCGGCTGACTCTCATGGAAGGGAAAAACACTGTATCGGTTTGGTCCAGGTAACAGGAGGTGCGGTCGCTCTGCTCCCATGTCACATGATGGTCTCCCCTCGTCACAACCTCTCCCTTTTTCTCAAATCAAAATTTCAAACATTTTGTTCACTTCTCACAAGAAAATAATCATGGCATTGAGATCGTTAATTATGAGTTGTGGCTATCAATATTGCAAGTTCTCAACTAACTTCAAATTGTTTCTTGATCGACTTTAAGGGCTTCTAAGAAATGTCTGTATTCTAAAATCGTGTGGTTTACATGAGTTAAAGTGATTGACACATTGTTATAATTGCTAGAGAGTTCAAGCAACTCGGCCAATAACCTCAGCTGTTAAAATTAGAGTGCATATTGCAATGGTCCTCATAAACCTCGAGTAAATTTAGCTTGAGCTACAGCCAACTCCAAATCTTTTACTTCTAGAATTTTCGATTAAAATGAAGTGATAAAGTTTCTAAAACACTTTCCTTGCTTTTTGCCTAATTTTAAACAATATGTAGGAGTTCTTTGAGAGTTTTAAGCACTAGCAAATTGAATCAAAAACTGCTACTTGAACTTGATAAAGGGAGATATATTTCTAAGCAGAAGTTTGCGAAGACACCAAAATGGCAACTCTTTGAATGTAATAAAGCACAATCAAAAGCTTTACATCATTAATATTTAAGAGTGAAGTAGCCAATTTAAACCAAAAAAAATAATTGACCTTTACTAGAGGCAATCACTTAATAATTTTCATGTTAAACGAATATCTTAGATGAGATCGATGCTTCTCAACCCTTCCAGGATAAGAATTTTTAGCACTACTTTCGGGAAGATTAGTTTCATAGAATAGGAAGGTTGAAGTTAGTCCTTTCAAACTTCTTGTTGTTCATGAATGACAGTACCTTTAAAATAATCTTAAAAAATTTTCATATATGAAGTGGTTACGGGAACACGCTTCAAAATTCCTTGAGTCATTCTCATTAGTTTCTACTCAATTATGTTCCGTTGGTTTCTAGTAGCAAAGACTTATTTCACCAATGAGCCTTGCTCCTCATTATCATGTCATTCTATTTCAAGGTTTTTGGTCCTATGCATCGATCCAAGCTCGCCACATCTTAGAGGATGTTGGATCCAAATTTAATTTTAGGTGATATGAATCCCTTAATAAATAGTATGGATAGAAAGTAAAAAAAAGTAAGAGATAAAGAAAACTTAAAATAAGAAACAATGAAATTTGACTAGATTATCATAAAGTACAAGACTAATATGTTACATCAAATTTGTCAGGTTTACCCTTTCACTCTCTATTTATAGATTTAGATTGAGACAAGAATTCAAAAAAAAGCTATGTTTGAGCAATTCAAGTAAAAATTTATAGCAAAACTTAACAGGTGATAATTGTTTAAAGTAGTGATAATTGTTTAAAGAATAGTCCAAGTAACTTGTACTACAGCTACATAAAAACACATGACGAATTCTAATTAAAAAGAAATGCCTGTGAAATCATTGCCCTTCACATGACACTTAAAAGCTCTTATCAACTATAAAACAAGTTTTGCTTTGGGATTGGCAAGTAGTTTTGAAATTGGGGCAAGTTTCTTTGGTGATTTGGGTAAATAGCCTTGGCAATTTTGACAAATTTAACTGATCCCTAGGCAAAATAAATGTTGATTGAGAACAAAAGAAAAATATGCTAAATAGATTTAGGCAACTTAGACTCAATTGATTAACATATCCTGTGACTTCCATTTGATTGAAAATCATCTCTTATGCACCATCAACTACCTTTGAACCGAGTTCATAATGATCAGCAAGTTTTGATGAACTCTAAATGGACGCTCTTGGAAGGAAACTAGTCATAACAAAGAAGTGCCTTTATGACAATGCCAGGGGCAATGATAGCTATGACAAAGCAAGTACAGGATTTTAATGAACAATCATTGGTCAATAGCTATGTAATTAAAACCTGAATTCGCTAGTATTCAAGCAGCCAAACTTCTATTAATAACAATTTAGTCACCAAAACATAAGGATCCTTCCTACTCTAGCTAAGAACAAAACTGGAAATCAAATTTTCTTATGAGAATTATATACCACATCCACAATCCTTAACTGTTACCCAAGAAAACGAGTTAACATGTAATCTGCCGGCTAAAAGCAGTCCCAACATAATGAAACGAAGAAGAATTTATGAAAAAAAAAAACTGAGGAGGCAGTCATTGAAGAACAAAAAACCCCCGAAATCGGGATTACCGATGCAGAAAAGACAAGAAGCGAAGAAAAATCCAACCACCTTCCCGATCAAGGATAAATCAGGACCTCATAATTACAAAACATACCAAAGACTAAATAAATAACAAGCATTTATCACTAAAACATCGAAACATTGCAAGAAAAAAAAAGTTCAGAACAGAAAAACAGAATCCTAATCAAGATCAAAGTAATGAACACAGTCTCAACTTTCATCCCTCATCAGCCTTTTCCCCAATAAACTACTCCCTACAATATAATCCTAGAAATAGAGAAGACATAAGTTCAGTGCGATATTCCGACCTGGCTGAACTTCAGGGAGTGCTGCTCACCGGCGAGCTGGAGAGAACCGCTAACGAAGACGAGCACACCCCCACCGGGACCAGAAAGCTGGCAATCAATTGTGGAGATGTTGTGCTGACATTGCTGGAAAGGTAGGCTGGTAAGCTTGGCGGTGATTGCAGCAGAACCCTGCGTATGCGCTCCCTCGAAGGTCAGCATGGAGCTGTCCTGATAAAGCCCCGCAAGTCCAGCCCGGTTGGTGTCGAAGGTGCGGTAGTAGTGCTCGACGAATGCTCGAGCCACCGCATCTGGATCCATTTCTCCGTCGCTCCTCTCCTCCACCCTCCCGCTCGCGGCTCTCTGTGGAAATAAATTTTGGTATTGCGGAATTCTTACGCGGATATTTATTCGAACGCGAAAGGAAATTTTCCAAGCGAAGCATAAATGAATCTGGGTCAAATATTACAGACAGGCCACCCAAAAACTTATTATTTACAAATCAACCAACTCCATTTTACAAATCAAAGGAACTAGGTTAATTTGAACCAATCTTTATGAGATGATGCACTTACTCGCTCTATATTAGGTGTAGATTGTGTCCACTTATTTGTACTCTATCTACTGCAGAGGATTGCATGGAAATATTGACTCAAAATTTAGTTGTTTGAAATATATTTTCTTTAATTTTCATAATTTCAATTTTTTTAATAGTATTTATTGTGTATATTATTTTATAGTCTTTGTCCCGTTGAATGCGTTGAGCAAAAGATGAAATCCACAAGCTCTTGATTTTGAGATATGATATTACTTTTTAAGAAGACTGAGGGGAAAATAACAGGTTGAACGAAGCCACGGACTATATGATAAATCACAATGGATGTGACAAGTTGGCTTTGTGGGTAAGGGCACTTAGAGATCAAGTTAGGTGAAGTTTGAACGTAAAGCAATCACTCTTAAGATAAAGTGAGCTACCTCGTAATGTTAGAAGTTGCAAAAAAACCAAGACTAATCCTATTATCATTAACAAATAGAGCAATTTTTTGGTTGATTTTTTGCCCAAATGATTCAATCACTATGTGGGATGAAATGGTATAAAAGTTACTTCAAAATAGTTCCCACAAGCAAAGTTTACTCGTATGAGAATAAAAATGTCAAATTTCTTGTAGACGGAAGGGGAAACACTCTATGAACCTTAGAAGAGATTTAGCAACTTATTTAGAAAATTTTTGAATCATGACCTATCAAAGAGGAGCATGCAGGTGATCAAAGTATTACATGGTGTTGGCATCCACCGGGTGTTCTTCTGAGTAACAAAGGATCATATTACGTTCTTATGTAATATCCCTTCTCTCAAGGGGTCTATAGAGCCTTCAGCGGGCACATCTTGCGCCAGACTAAGGAGTTCATCCCATTCCAGTAGTGCTCGAAAGCGGCTACCATTGGTTTGCATCGATCCCTCAATATAAGAAGAGCTCGATTACCATTCTGATGTCTGGAAGCCCTAATATAGCATCTAGGACTACTTAGGGCGGGGGGGAGCCATAAAACGCCTTTGATATGATTTTGGAGGTTGAAAAAGCCTAAGGGCCACCCATGACCACACTTAGAACAAGCATGGCCATGCCTAGCCCTTTGCGTCACCACGCCCTATTCCAAAGGGATTCAAGGCCATTTTTAACAGACTTGACCACGCCTAATTCGGGTGTGGTCATGCCAACCTAACGGGGCACCTGTGATGCTTTTGAACATGTGTGACCATGTGACCCAACCTGCAACTGCACGGATTTTTTAACTCCAAATGATTGTCAAAATCTTAGCTCAAATTATATTCAGTGGCTAAGTGTGAATGAATGAAAATAAATAACAAAACTTCACACTAGTGGTATGATCGCGACTTTATATATGCTTAAAAATATAAGATAAATATGGACGTATTAAATATTCAATAATTGTAAAGTCACATTTATCAACGCAAGTATACGTATCACTCAAGTAATATAGGGCTCTAATGGAGTCCTAGATATCGATCCCACATAGGGTAATATTAGAACTACGAACTAAGTTTTTAGAAAAACAATACTTAATCGCAATAATGAAGTTCAAATTGCTTATCTGTCACTAATAGACAATTGAAATAAATATGTAATTTTAATAACTCTTAAATAACTAATTGTACTAATAAGATTTTTAATGTGAGATTCAATATATAAGAAAACATCATTCTCCTTCTCAAAAAATTATAGTGAATGAATAAAGTGAATCAGTTCAAATTGTATTGTGCCAAATAAGAGCATACCTATTCTTTACCCTTTGGTCCAAGCATAAAGAACATTGACTAATCCTACGCTTGTTTACTGAATCTGCGGATAGTCTGGAAGGATACCGACTCTCACTTCTAGACTACCCACCGTGCCCTAACTATAACACTAACTGGTCCAAAGGTTCCAATATCGTGTTGGGCGTGTTCGACTCGTTTATATTTCGAGCTTAAATATTTGTTCATGTTTCTGCTTGTTAGGCTTAACGAACAAGCCGAACACGAGCTGCTTAACGAGCCGAACACGAGCTGTTCACGAACAACGAGCCAAATTGACAGCCCTAATCCCACATGGAGTATGATTAAATCTACAAACTAAGACTTTAGAGAAAACAATACTTTAATCACAACAATGAAGTTCAATTTGTTTATCTGTCACTAATAGACAATTGCAATAAATATGTAATTTTAATAACTATTAAACAACGAATGATACTAATGAAGGTTTAAATGTGATATTCAATATATAAGAAAACATCCTTCTCCTTGTCAAGAAATTAGAGAGAATGGATAAAGTGAATTAGTTCAAATTATATTGTGCCAAATAGGAGCATACATATTTTTTACCCTTTGGTCCAGGCATAAAGAACATTGACTAATCCTATGCTTGTTTACTGAATCTGCGACTAGGTTGGGAGGATACCGGCTCTCACTTCGGAGCTCCCACGTTCCCCTCTCCTGAGGGCTAACATCTACGCTTCAGCACCCAAACAATAGGACTGAATTGGGTATTTTAGTCTGTCACTCTAAAAATCTCCAATTATACGCCCGATAATATTATTTCCCTATTTATTTGCACCAAACTTCCAAGGGCTTTGACCTCCCTGAATCTTGGATGTAATCTTCACTTTAGTTGTAAAACTCAACATATTTTAACAAATCAATTGGCCAGATTAAAAGTAA